CCTGCAATTTTTTCAGGTGAATAACCACTTATATCAATTAAACTGATTATGAAGGTAGAAAGCCAGCAGGGTTCAGGGGCTCTCCAGTGTATTGCACTGACTGCCACACATATGACTTTTTGCCAACTGGAGAGAAGTCATGGATGTGGGCTTGGTGTAATGAGCCCTGGCTCTCAGGAGACATATTTGTTTCCTTGAAGCCAAAGAGAGGTGGATGACGGGACCCCCAGGAACCAGTTAGCAGGGTCCAAACTCCTGGGTGACAGCTCTTCTGTCATGGAGAAGGGGGGTCTTGAGGAAGTAGGGTGGCATTCGGAGGAAGAGGGAAATGATCCCTTAGAAGAGACTAGCCTCTTGGAAGGTAAGCATGTATCCTGTCACACTGAGGATATCCCTCTGGGGGTGAGGGGCTTCTGGTAGTGGAAGATTCACTCATTAGGAACAAAGAAAGCTGGGTTTGGAAAGGTCATGTGGATCACACAGTGAATTGCCTGCATGGTGCAAAGGCTGCAGATATCACTTGTTGTCTAGACAGCCTTGTAGCTTCTGTGGGGTGGAGTCATTGGTCGTCGGTGTTATTGGTACACATGACATAGGGAAATGTAGTCATGAGATCCTGGGATCCAATTAAGGTTGCTAGGTATAAGACTGAAATGCAAGACCTGCAAGGTGGCTTTCACCAAAATGCTACTGGTTCCATGCACAAGCCCAGCTAGACAGGTGCAGCTGAGGAGTTTGAATGTGTGAACAGGACAGTTGTGTGGAGAGGAGGATTTCACATTTGTTAGGTGCTGGGAAACAGTTTGGTATATGGCAGGCTGTAATATGAACTAACCTAACACTCAGTCTGCAGAAGAAGGATTAACTGACACTGGGGAAATGGCTGCAATTGCCAGGTGTTGATTCAAGGAGACCCAGGTGCCCAAGGGCAAAAGAAGAGATACAGTAAAACCTTGGATTGCAAGTAACTTGGTCTGCGAGTGTTTTGCAAGACGAGCAAAAAGTTTTTCTAAATTTTAACTGTTGGTGTCCCTGCTGGCCAGATGACTTACAGACCAGCTAAACCAAGTGCCAATGAGATTCATTCAGGTGGAGATTTGTTCAGTTTCTTTATTCAGCTGAGCAAAGCCACCGGGTGCCTGCTCCCTACACGCAGGCAGGCAGCAACACACACACATTCCTGCTTTTTCTCTCTTTTTCACTTAATCTCGCCCCCATCGTTCCCTCACCCAGTCCCCTCTCAGGGTCTGCGTGACCCTTCACCCAACCCCCTTGCGGGGTCTGCATGTCCACTGCATGCCTGGCCTCGTGCAGGCCCCTTATCTAGTCCAATCCCCTCACAGGGGGAGCATGATCACTGCGTGCCAGTCCTTGCGTGGCGTCTTTCTATACTCACTGCCTCTTTATCAACATTCTTTTGCCTTCCCTTTTTCCTCTCCAAAGCAAGCAGTTATACAAAAAGCAAATGGTGTTAGTTAAGCTAAAAGCAAATAACATTAGTTAAGCTAATCAGGCTCCTTCAAAACGAGCAATGTCTTGCAGTACGAGTATTACGTGCACTTTGCCTGCCCAGCGTCATGTCACAACTGAGCGCTGGTTCTTCTCTCACTGTGGGTGTGTGTACAGCATCGTCTCCCCCCGCTCGAGCGCACCTGCAATCGCACCCGTCTCCCTGTGATCACGCCCGTCTCCCCCCGAGTGTGCCCCAATCGCGCCTGCCTCCCTCCGAGCACGCCCACGATCGCATCCACCTCCCCCCCAAGCGTGCCTGCTTCAAATTTTTGTGATTAAAAAAAAAGATACAGAACGGATTAACCTTATTTACACTGAACCTTATGGGGAAATTTGCTTTGATATACAAGTGCTTTGGATTACAAGCATGTTTCTGGAACGAATTATGCTCGCAATTCAAGGTTTTACTGTCCTGTAAATTGTAGCCAAGGACAGAGGAATTTGCACTACCCAAGAAAGCAGGAGATCATGGGCAATAAGGACAAATTGTCCTTGCCTGGAATATTTCACTCCATCAGCTATCTGATTAGCAACAGGAGATAAAAGAAAGGAGCTCATAATCTTAGTGGAAAACTGTAGTACTGATGCTGAATTAGATGGAATTTACATTGATAAGTTCTTGCTGGGGTTGTGTAACAGACTTACAGTTCTGATAAAAGATTAAAAACAGCAGAAATCCATTTAAACACATTTAAAGATTCAAACGCTATTTATTCAAAGGGCCCAGTGTATGCAAATTGTGGGACAAATATGCAGAGCTCGGCTCTCTGAGTGTAACCATTCCATGTACAATTCCAGAACAGGGTGTGGGGCATGGTCTGGTTTTGATTCCTGTGTGAGAAATGCTGTGAAATTCTGTTGGGTTCAAACAAAATAGATTTCCCAGAGTTGCACTGCTCTAGCTACAAAATCTGTGATTGTTTAGCTTAGAAAAAAGGCATGATAGAGGCATGCCAGAATTATGCATGGTATGGAGAAAGTGAATAATACTATTCACTTTTCTCATAATACTAGAATGCAGGGTCATCCCATGAACCTGCTTAGTGAGAGATTCAGGACAGGTAAAAGGAAGTATTTCTTCACACAGCACATAGTTAAACTATGGAGTCCACAGTGCCTGTGTACATCAGTTGCCCAGGAGCTTGGGCAGGTGGAACTCTTGTACCCATTATGCTTAAGGGTTCTTGTGGGCAGCACGTTGTCTACTATTTATTTATTTATAACATTTGTATGCTGCCTATTTATTATGCACTTCATTTCTATTGTTATTGCATTGTGATATATAATACAATAATTATGCAATTCACCATAATGCTAGAGGCCAAAAGGGCCTTGCAGCAGCAGCGTGGGACCTCAAATAGGCTTTGTGACCTTCCAGCAGCTCTCCCCGTCCCTTCGCACTTCTTCATGGGTGTGCCACACACCAGGCCTGCTCAGCCTCCACACACCTTGCTTGCTCCACCTTCCCCCCTGACCTGAAGCCCAGCCCTTACCTGCTTTCTGGTTCCATCGCTGCTTGCATGCACCCTCCCAGGCTTCTGCACACCACTGGCCACCTGCCGCTGCTGCCACTGCAACTTCCTCCTCCTTTCAAGGCCCAAGACCCAAAAGGGCCCTAATGATCATCTGTATTTGCAGATGCTTCCCAGCAGTGATGCTAGCACAGGGGAACGGCTGCAAAGACAGATGTAGCTTCACTTACCTGCCCCCGCTCACCTCCTGCTGTGTGGCCCAGTTCATAACTGGTACCAGTCCATGGCATGGGGGTTGGGGATCGCTGTCCTACAGCATGGTTGTTCTTATAGATATATGCTACCCCCTATATTAGAGGCTGTGGAACATGGGTTGGTCAGTATTTGTGGTTCTCCTGTGGACTGTTAATCAGCTACTGTGTGAACAGCACACTGGACTAAAGCCATCATCTGATCCAATATGGCTTTTCTTATATTCTCAAAAAGTTCTACAGTTCCTAGCCCTAGCCACTCCTGCTTTTAAAAATGCTGGGACTTTTAGGCAATTTTCTGTTTAAACATGCACACAATTTCAAGTTAATGGTTTTAAAACTGAAGCAACATTTTCTAACCATGAGATTCAATTTGCAAATTTATTAAAAACTGACTGTGAATTCCATTGACACAAATCTCAATGTTCTTAGGAAAAAAGAGAAGGAAGGAAGGAGAAAAGGTGGGATATCCCACATAAGCGGAATAACCCAAATGTTGTTCTACCATATGCAGTGGCAGTGGTGAAATAATCTCATTTTTCTCTCACATGAGGGTTTAAAACTATATTCATCAACTGCTACAGGTCTGAGCCAGAACAAGCCCAGAAACAGGACTCTACTGGCAGCATTCTGTAAGGCATGAACACTAATGTCAGTTATGTTGTACTAGTGTAAGGGACCTACAGAGCTATGCCAATGGTATTTCTTTGTCTTCTGCTAGACGTCCATCCTGCTAATGCACTGTCCCTCATGTTAGCGCCCAAGTCTCATTGAATGCTGCCTTATAGAGCAAAAGGCGAACTGTCAAAAATTTTATTTTCTTCAGATATTATACGATACTGAGCATGATTTTAATTTCCCTAAATGCCAGTCAGTCAAGTATACATTAGAACATTACTTTAATAAAGAATGGAATAAATAACTTTGCTGGAAATTTTACAGAGAATACTAAAGACCTATTTTTCCCATAGTTTCAAAAATTCCAAAAATTCTTCATGTCTAACCTTCTAACCTTCCATAATATCTTCTTAATTACATAGTTTTAGCCATCATTGCGGGGAAGGGGATTAAGGCTGAGTGTCAATACCTACTTTATCTTAACCAATACATTTATCATTATGTAAATATTTCATAATCGAAAACTTTTAGTGTGTAATGAATTAATTGGTTAATTTTATTTCTACCTTATCCAAATAGGCAAAGCTCTCTTGATAATTCATAATAAAAACATAAATAAAATAACAAATTCTAAAACTTCATATACCTATTATATTTATATATGTATATGTATAAATGTATTTCCCTTTCAAAGAAGCCATGGCAGCTTAGCTGGTTCCTATTTTCTCCATTTATGCACATAACAACCCTGTTGGATGGGTTAGGCTGCCAGTCAGTCCATTGTATTTCCTGGCCAAGTGGCTACTACAGCCTGGGACTCCACACTGTAACCATGTTGTCTCTAATTTTTCTACTGACTGTAAATTTTTAGGCTTGTCATGGCATGAGTCAATTTCACTAAGCTTACTTTTGATGTATAATTTGCACTCAAATTAATTGCCATGGGTGCTGTTCAACTGGAAATTACTGCATAGGGATATTTTACTGTGTTGAATAGAATTGTGGTCAAGGTAAATAACTTGTAAAATCCACCACTGAGGCCACCCTGCGTGGCACTTATATACCACAGCTGGGCAGGGCTGTACTTTTGTTTTTGTTTTTAATATGCCTGCATGCAAGACTGACAATTTTGTTCTTATCCATCTAGTTGCAAACATTTAATACTGCTGAATCCTGCAGAGACATTCAAGGCTTAACTAATGGTGTCGCCATGGCACAAGCACTTCATGAAATGTAAGTTAATCTAAAGTATGTTTATGGAATTATTATTATTCCTTGTGTGTTTTTCTTTGTTTTCCTCTGAAGCAGCTGTTTGGAGATGACTGCTTTCCCTGCTGTATAGATATAAATGGACCCATGGTGTCCTTTGGGATGCTATATAAATCTTATTTCATCTGAGAGGATGGTATGGTAAAACAAAATGGGTGCATTCCTGGGGAAGGATACACTTCAATATTTTATTGTACAGTAAGTCTCACTTAAAAACTAGATTAGTATATGAAGGTATATGGCTAGGTTGCAGCTTCTGGGAGTTGTAGGACTTTCTTCTGTCTAAACACAAATAGATGAATAGCGTCTGTGGAGGATCAGTGAGCTGCATCCAAAAGTGTCCTTCCACTGACAGAAGGCTCTTTAACCCAACAGAAACTTCCATCACTGAATTGAGGGAGGAGTGCTTGCAATTCCCTCTCCGCCACATCACCAAATACTGCTCAGAATAGGAAGATGCAGGAGAGAAGGGAAGCCAACGAAAATAATCTCTCTCCCTGCTCCACTGACAGATGCAGCCACTGGATCAAAGAGCATTGCATCAGTAGAAGGTCACCTCTGGATGCAATCCAGTGTACTTTGCCAATGTACTTGCCATCATTGTTTACCTACCTTTGTAAAAGAAACAGGACTGGAGCTCAGATGTAAGCTTCAGTAATTTTGCAGTCTATAAAAGAGGATGTCTGTCTGTCCACCTGTCTTTCAGTGCTGTCACTCTAAGACCATGGAAACAGGTTGTGTGAAACTTAGCACATTTTAATTAATGTAAATATGCACATGTGGTTGATGGCTGCAATAATATATTTAACTCTTAGAAGCAGGCTTCCCTAATGAACACAAAGCTTTGCAGTCAGCGGAGGTCAGAAGTTTGAGGTCAGTGGAGGCAGAAGGCAGATGTAGAACTCTGTCTTCCTCCACACCGCTATGGGGCAATTAGGGGCAAAAACTGGCCAGAGCTTTCTCTCAAGATGCTATAAGGATGCAACATGGTTATGAATGGCTCCTAGGCTTGCTGGCTGTGCACTCCGTCTGTTACCACAGAGGCGGCATGCCTGTATACATCAGCTGCTGAGGAGCTTGGGCAGCATCTAGAAATGTACCTAAAATGCCAGCAGCTGTTGCTTCTTAATAGTGGGCTAGGAATTGTATCCAACTTTAGCAACTATAGAAGTTTGATGGCTGGACTGTATCAAACTAATCGCTATTCTAGCCCATGCAAGGAGGGTCCATTTGTTAGTATTTAATAAATATAGATTATTTTTATTCTAGTGATGCTGCCTGGTTTGACAAAGCTTGGCTAAGCCGTATTAAAGAAGATGTTGGTGACAATTGGAGAATAAAGGTAATGAAAGCATATTTATACATTTACATAGGGTAAGATTTCAAAGTTAGAACTCTACACTCTACAAATAAACATTTTACACCATTAAAGGCTACTTGATTTAGCAAATTCTGGATCAGAGTCTCATTAGACCGTAAGTTCTATTTGGGCTTCTGTGAAAGAGTTACTTATACACTTGGGGGATATCCCAAATTGCTTCAGAGATTTTCATTTTATGTCAGCTACATAGATAAGAAGTATCAGTTTGAGAATTTCTTAATCTTTGGGTCAGATTTTTGTGTTATTTTTGATGCTGTGGCTTTCTCTTGTTGGAGTGCTAATAGCTGCTCATAGGAAACAATGGAGAAATCCTAAACTTATTGTTGCAGTGCTTTGAAATCTATGCCTACCCTTCCACACCACATGTATGTGTGCATACAGAGTAAACAGAAGCAATGGAATATAACCTTTGAAGCTGCCAATCAACAATTAGCAGTTGCAGAGCAAATTTAGCAGGTATAAAGATCACTTGGTCATGGTCTTCTCATGGTAGAGTGATGCATTGTATTTCTATTTAAATTACTGTGACTCTAAATATCCATAGCTTTCTATTATATATAACAATATAAATCAGAACATGCAATTTTCATGCAAATCTGACCTCTTTTTAATGATGTTTTTTGTCTTTTTTGACTGATACCTGTGGCCATCCTAGATCAATCAAAATGCTGCTTTTTCAATTGCTGTAATAATTTATGATGGAACTAGGCAGAGCTCCCTTGCTAGGGCATCCCAGATTGTTGGCACAACATTTGTAAAGGTCCTGTCCTTCATAACGACCTAGTACATTTCAGTGTCAGAGGTCCTGTTCCATGAAGTGAGAAGGCAGCATCAGATAAACAGACATTTCAGGTGATTTCATTTCATGACTTGTATCATCTACCAAAGTAATAACTAGTTGAATCACTACCTTCATCTACCCCTCAAACACCAGGAAACAGAAGCAAGTAATTGATCCAAAAAGCCTGTCATTTACAGAGCCATGCTGTGCTTTACCATTCTAACAATGGAAAAATGCAGATCCCAATTAAATCAAGAAAATAGGGCAAATGTGTTTATTATTTCTTAGGTTTTAACATCCAGTTTGATTGTATGCACCCAGAGCCACACTTCTTTGCTTAGTGTCTATTCTAGTCACTGAGGAATACTATCCTTGCATGCCCTAAATAGCTAGTGTTCTTTACATACTGATTAATTCTTAATCTACATGGATGCAATTCCAGCCACCAGTTATCCAAGGGCTTTAGAATCTGACTAACCTCTTGAGTAAGCCAAATAGTGCATACAGTTTTTAAATGTTTCAATTAATTCAAAATAGCTATATAAGCAAGTCCTAGATGGATTCTTCTGTCCCCTCTGTTTGTTTATTTATTTAAACCATTTTTATGCCGCCCCATTCACAAAAAGCCTTGGGGTGACTTACAACATCAATAAATAAACACAAACAGGCGTATAATCAGACTTTAAAAAACCGGAAACATCTCGGCATGTACATAAAAACCCAATAAATACAATTCATAAATTAACAATTAAAATAACTTTTAAATAAAAAGGTCTTGGCCTGTCACCGAAAAACAAATAACGACAGCGCCAGGCAGACGCCGTGTGAATGTGTGCCTCTCTCTCCCCTTCACTATAGTGGTTTTGTCCATGGAGCTTGAAAAATATTGAGGTTGCACACAGCCTAAACTTGCAACAAATTAGAAGCTGCGAGCAGTCACAGAAGGGTGTTGTTGTATCTCTCAGTACTTAACCACTGCAACAAAAAACATTCAGAGACTGTGGAAAACCAGTTTAGATTTTATACTGAAAGTTCCAATAAGAGCATCTGCATGTGCACACAAACAAATGTGGGCACCCCCCACCACAACCAAACACCATGTTTTGGTAGGGCCTTGTTCATCACTAAGCAGTGATGAACATTTTTTTTTTTGCAATAATATGCTGAGCTACATGAGACATAAGAGATCAGGTGACCAGAATTCACAGTGTTGTGGTTTTCATTTAAAACTGGGGAATGGAGAAATTGGATTAGACCAGGAATGCGGAGGGTAAGCTTTTTCCCCAGTGCCACTTTCCCAATCGAAATCCTCCATGCTGCCAAAGCTGCTATCAAAGCCCAAGCAAGGGAAAAATAGGTAACAGTATTTTTCCAGTGTGGCCTAACAGTAACTAGGAATTCAGGCAAGATTTTGATAGAGCGAAAGGGTTAATGCTGCTCAGCACAAGCATTCGAGTAAAATTTGGGGTGCCAGGTGGATGCTTTAAACAGAAAATACAGATACCTTATCATAGACCTTTTGCTTGGTTTAATAGATAGATGGAGAAATGAGTATACAAACAAGAGGATTAATTATCTGTTTTCAAAATTTCAAAAAGTGAAAATCAAGTTATTAATTTCCATGATTAGTGACCTGAGAACTTCCCTTCTTAAGCTAGGGAAAAAAGATTTGAGGCTGGGCCTCTCCTTCTCTTTGAAAAGTTCTGCTGCATTTCTCTCCTCCTCCTCCTTACCTGCGCATGGGCAGCTACTTTACAGGAATATTCGTTGAAAGTCCTCATATATTCCTGAGGTGTCTGTCTGCTTTTATTGTTTAAAAAAGCATTTGTAGGTTGTTCAGCTGATTCTAATGTACATTTCAGCTATGTCATATTTGTTCATGAAAGACTATATATGAGAAATGTAATTCTGCATTTCACTTTTAAAGATAAGTATCTGGCAAATGGATTCTGAATTGTATGACAATCAATATTGGAAGTATAATAATTTTATTTAAATGTTCTTAGGCTAGCAATTTGAAGAAGGTACTTCAAGGAATTATGGATTACTATCATGAGGTATGGAAGAAGCAGAAGTTGTTGAATTTTCCTGGTTTTTTTCCTACTATAGTCAGAGTCTGCATTTCAATTTATAGAACAGTTTGCAGTCCTTTAATAAATCTGTTCTTGGTTTACTTTGCTTTTTTGCTTATATAAAAATAAGAACAAAAAACATTCAGGACTTGTTTGTATGTGGATACACATGCATTCCATGATTAACTGGAAGGCTGGTTTTATCCTGTGAACTTTATCTGCCAGATTCATTAACAATTAAAGATAAGTTTATCTTAATGGAGAACTTCAAAACACACACACACTGTTATTTCCCTTCTTTATCTGAGCCTGCACTAGGTGGCATAGCATGTGCTACACAAATGCCAGCACTGCTTTGCCTTCCTGCTTCTGCAGCTTTGTATTGCTGATCAGTGTCACAGCCACTTAAGGGCATTTTCATCCTCAGCCTAAGGATAAGCTGGATGCTGGGGACTGTTGTGTTCCCACTCCACTCACAACTTGCCATTCTGTACTTCTCAGTCACCAGCTAGTCCCTGATGATGCATCTGGGTCCAAATTTTTAAAAATGTGCTTTGTTCTAGTTTTTCATAAACAGATTTGTTCTACTGTAATTGTATAATTTATTTCTAGTTAATGTCAGCAGATCATTTGAAAATATTTCCTTATATGAAAGCCCACATAGAAAGTGTCCTTTTATCCAAGAAAGCTAGAGGCGTTTAACTTTTCTATCTTCTTTGCAAGTAACTCTTCCTAGACTAATTCCAACCCGCTCCCCTTGGCCAACATAATTATTAAATTATAGCTCAAGATTTCCTTTGTTTCCATTCTGCAGTTTTTGGGCCAGCAGATTTCAGAGGATCTCCTTCCTGATTTAAGCCGGATATCTGAACATTCTGATCCAGTAGAATTGGGCAGGCTACTGCAGCTCATTTTAGGCTGTGCAGTCAATTGTGAAAAGAAACAAGGTAAATGTTTTCTAAAGAACCAGAAGCTCCAGTTACATAGAAACAGAGCGAGTCAGAAGGGGTCTCCCGGGCCATCTAGTCTGACCTCCGGCACCAGCCGGCTCCGCTCACGACATGCCCACCATGTGAATGTCCAGCCTATCCTTGAACACCCGCACCGATGGGGCCTCAACGACCTCTCATGGATAACATATTGTTATCCACATATTGTTACAGATCAATAATTAACAAATTAGTTTACAAGAATGAAAGTGTTCATTCTTCCTTTCTTGGTAATATACCATACACAACGAAGTAACAGTTTTTAAAAGTTTAAAATAGTTAAAAAACTTGGAGTGCTCAGGTATGCTTAAAATCTTTTCGTAAATTTAATGTGTAATGAGAAAGTGTATCTGTCAGTGCCGTGGCACTAAGACTGTGAATCTAAGTACTTGAAACAGCATGCATACTAAGGGGGGCATTCTAAGGGTGTGCATTCCAAATTATTTGGTTTTAAAAAATATATTAAGTATCCTGTATGTTCATGTCTCTGTACAATTGAACCCTGCAGCGTCATCTTCAGCCTCTAAATGGCAGGCCTCCCCAACCAGTGGATAGCTTTGCTGCCAATAGAGTTTAATGCTAGAGGAGCAGCTATACTGTGGCCCTCTCCTTCCTGTTGGGTGCAGCCCTCCCCTCAGGGAAATGCGATGGACAGACCCCTCCCTTGGCAGATTATATGGGCACACCATGCAGGGCCTGTGCGTACAGTCCATTTGCTAGTAAATAATATGAAGAAATCGGTAAGATAAAAATAAGGCATAAGTCTCAAAATATGTGCTCTGTATCTTTCAAATGTTTTATGAGTTGAGAAGTTAACTAAGTTAATTTTCTTTGAAGTGACCAATGTGCATTCTAGACATAGGCTTAGGACCAAGATTTTTGGTTTAGCATGATGTACATGTGGCCTGTAAGCTTCACAAGCTTCCCCCTCCCCTGCAGATCCAAGGTTAATTGAAAGCAAAAATGCCTGAACTTCCTCCAGCTTGTTATTCAGCATTCTGTGCTGCTGTGTTGCAGAATCAGATGATGAATGTGGTATAATCTTACTCTCAGCCACATGTTTGGGGATAAGCATTTATTCATTTTACAAGAAATGAACTAAAGCTGTAGTTAATCAATTGTAGTCTGGAAAATATTAATGCAATGCTGTACCCAGTTATCTGTAATCACTCCCATTGTTAGGAAGACTTAATGCATAGGATAATCTAGGATTGTGCTGTTAATTTACCACAGTACTTTTTTTATAATTAGTAGAAAAATGTGGGAAGCCAGGAATAAGGCTTCAGTAATGAATCACAGGGTAAACATTTCCTTTGAAGCAAAGATACAATACACTTATTCAGGCTGTATAGAATCTTTTACTGCAAAAACAAACCTTTGCACATTTTGTCTTATAGAATACATACAGGTTATAATGACACTAGAAGAGTCTGTCCAGCATGTTGTCATGGCTGCAATTCAAGAGGTAAGAAAACAAAATATGGAGATTTTGTCACGAGCCTTTTAATCATCTGTTAATGTACTGCATCTACTTTTGTTTTCATTGCAGAATTTAGATTTCAGCACTACACACTATTGTTTCTTTACCTGCTTTTCTTCCATACGGCCTCTAGGTGGAACTATGCTTTATCAGAATAGCATGAATACATCAGTAAAAGTAATACTTCCTTTGCTTTCACACCAAAATGTAACATTTCCCTTTTACTAAAGTGCTCACTAGAAGTGAAGCTGGAAGGTCACTGCATTATCTAATGAACCCATAAACAAGCACAAAAATATACATCAGAATGTGGATTTGCTCCTTATAATGTGGCTAGTTTAAATTGATTGAATTGGTAACGGAAATTGACAGCAACTGACAGCAACATATCAATTGAAATGTGATAGCACCAAGCAAAAGGGAAGTGCATTTTAAATATGGACCACTTTTTTTGGTTACTGTTTTGGGGATGATAATAAATCAAAATAGGGCTCTTTTTTGCTGCCTCTAACTACTGCTGTTTTTCTTCTCAATTCCACTTTTTCTTCCTTTGTCCTCATCATAATTGATTTATGTTTTGATTTGTATGAACTGTTCTGAGAACATTTTGTTACAGGATAGCATATAAAATCAATAATGTGTTCAAACTTACATGCATTTTAAGCTAGGATGCTTGGTTAAAAAAATAAGATTTGTTCTGGGATGTTCTTTTGAGGGTTTAAGAGAATTTGGGCTGGAAGGGGCATCTTTATTCTTAAATGTAATTAGTTGTTTTTATTACTGTGAATTCTGAGCATTTTATATGAGAAGTACCATGTGATGCATGTCTTAACCATGTGTAAACAATAAAGAAGCAGTTAAGTCCTTGTACTGAGACAGCATGCTTGTGCTATCCTGGCATCACAGAACAAAGCCTATTTTTTAGAAGGCCAAGCAGAAATTAATTTAGGCATTTATTTTAAATGTAATACTAAGATAGAGTACATATACTATATACCCAGATGTGTGTCAGTTGTATAATATTGAGATAAACCTACTTTGAAACATTGAGATAAACTCCAGATGCATAAATATTGAAAGTCTAAGAAATATAACTGTTTGTTGTAAATATCAGGGCACATGTGCTTTAAAATATCAGAAAATAATTTTATATTTGCATCTCACTGATGTTGTCCCTTTGCTTTAGATTTTTTGATTGGGCTTAGCAAACAAGGAACATATTGTAATGTTAAAAGGAATACTTGAAAGGTTACTGTAATAAAACTGCATCGGTCTGAGCAAAATCATTTCTGACTAAATACAGTGTACTGCGTATGATTAATTGGAAAGGGTTTTTTAATGTAAAAAGTTTTAGAATACTATTTGCAGAAATTTGCAAATGGTTTCTAGTATGACAAATTATATATGTGTTACTGTATTTTTTCCTGTTACAGTTAATGAGCAAAGAAATATTGGGCTTTGTGGCAAATGACTTACCTGGTGATCTGGAGCAGCAGGTAACTATAAAACATAATAAACATGTCCAGAAACAGTTAAGCATGTTTGGCTACCTACAAAGGAAAGCTGGAAGAAATGGTCTTTCAGCTCCACAGTAGGAATTTCTCAACAACACTTGTTTGTTTTCAGGTTCCTCATGGCCTTATCTTTAATGTCTCAAATACTAGCCAGGACTAAATAACTATTTTTAAAAAAATAAACTTACCTTCATAGGAATCAAATTTGGTTACTTTACTCATAAATCTAGAAGGTGGGAGTCCAACTTGCAAGAAATCACCTATTTATCCAGAATTCCCTTTTTTTCCTCAAGGCCTAGTCATAATTTTTGGAATGGAGGGCTGCTAAAAGAAATGTCCATTGCTAAATTACTGAAAATAAAAATTTCTACATTTTTAAAGATGAAAAGAGCATTGGAAGAACTTAATGAAGTGATAGCTGAAAAAGAAGAACTGAAGCAAAGATGTCAAGAACTAGATCTGCAGGTGAGCACATTTTTTCAAGTTATTTTCATAGAGATATTGTCTCTCTGCATGTTCCTTAAAGTCGCTTAAACTGTGTTATTGCATTATAGCACAAATATCCCCTCCATTTACTTCCCTGTTTTAAAGTCTGCATATATTTCCTGGTCAAAAATGCACAAGTTTCTCTGTTGTTGGTTTTGTTTTGTTTTGTTTCTGGTTTTTTTTAGCTCTTGGAGGTGGCAAAATGGAATAGCTCAAATGGGGCACTGTAAAAAGGGAATACGCTTAAGAACTCCCAGTTCTGGACTCAGGGAAGTGTCCAAAAGGTGGAGGGTACAGAGACGTGAAAGTTCGATATTACAAATCAAGATGAGCACCTTTGGGCATACCTGCTCTGATGCTTTCTCCACATTGTCTGTGCTTTCCAACTAAATGTTAGACAACTGATGGTTGTCAAGCAATGCATGCAATCTCACCCCATCAAATTGTTGCCATTTGTCAGTAGGCAACACATATCAGAAAGCCATGGAAGTAAAGTGTGTGTGTGTGTGTGTGTGTGTAGATATAGATATATATTTACACACACATCTGGAGCTGAGAAAAGGGGCAGATCAGCAGTGGTTGCTCTACAGTGCTGCACGTGGTATCAGTGGAGGGGCTGTGACTAGTGGCCAGCACTGGGGAGGTCACAAAGCTTTACGCACCCAGACTTATTCATTGCCATGCTGGTGCTGGGATCACAAAAATGGATCACTTTTCATAATGCTTTTTTATATAGCTGTGCAGTTATGGAATGCTCTGTTTAGAAACCCACCTACCACTATGATGTCATCATTTTAGGTACTAAAATTTAGAACAGTAAAGGCAAGTCGTTATATTTCTGAATGTGATAACCAGACATGTCCAAATGTGTGTCTTACTACCATTGTTATGATGCCTTACTCTGGAATGGTGATATATATTGCTGCCATTGAATTCTGTCTTGTTTTATGATTAGCAGTTTTGTATGACTGAGGGGATTTTTCATAAGCAGCTTAGAGTGCCTGTCTGAAAGGCAGAATTATAAACTTAAAAGATCAAATAATATACAAATTCACTGTGAGTACCTAACACTTACACAAGGCACAATTTCTGTGCAAGGCCAACTCTTGGTCTTTAAGAAACTGGCCCAACATCATGTAAAGCACGCATTTCTCTTTTCCTTAGCCAAGTTAAGGAATGACTAGGGCTTTACTTCTATGCACACATAGGCAAGCATTCTGATTAAGTTTCCTTTAAACATGCCCGGAGAGAGCATGCAGATGTACTTGCTAGTTTTGCCCCTTCTCTGCTCTCATAATCCTTGTATTCAGGGTGAACTATAACTTGGAGCCTCTCTATCCATATAAACTTCAAGAAGAACCATGATTTTCCAGGGTTATACACTGCATACACAGAAACATTCACCTAAATGTAGGGAGAATGATGGAGAGGGCAGAGCTAGTTTGTATGCACTTGTCCACCTCACATGCTCACATTAAAAAGAATGCTTAAGCAGAGCTTTTCTTCAGAGCAGTTTTCCCTGAGGCTAGTAAGATTTCTCAGCAGACATGCATAAGATGGGGCCATCTTCCTTCCTGCCTGATAAAGGTATCCCAGATTTGCTGTTAAAAGAAGCCACAGCAAGTCTTCATAACTTATCCTAAGCATTTAGGGGAAACATAAAATGCAAATGTAAATAGTGGGGATACTATCCTAGCCCTTATATCTGATTGTGTAATCAATGTTTCCAGTGTAAGAAATGTGGAAGATAATTTGCCTGGCTTGGTACAATAAGCTAATACCACCACAGTGTATTGAATGTGTGTTTATGTGAAAAATATATACTTTCTTAAACTAATTGTTAATAAATTCACTTATAAGGTCTCAGTCTTCCATGATACAAGCATTTACGAAAGGTAGGTTTATTTTTGTTTGAGGAAAAAGTAACCCAAAGAGCACATTGCATTCTGAGTACCAAGCACTAACATGTGACATGTTCTGATGTTCAATATATTAAATTAACACAGTGGCTTTCACTAGAAAAAAAAGCTTAAAGCTCTGTTTTTTTAATCTGTGGCTCATATTTGACTGTTAATATACTCACTGTTGTATAACTATGTCTCAGCTAGCAATATTTTCAGAAGTAATTGAAAGTGCATGTTCTCTATACATACAATGCTATTTAGGGCTGTTAAAAAACATTCTACTGGCTTGTGGCTCCTGGAACTCACTGCTGAAAATTAGTCACTTCTGTGCTTTTTTGTGTCTTCAGTTTACTAACTAGGTAGAATTCTTACTGTCCCCACTCCCATTTGATTAGGGATCCCCATGCCATTTTTAAAAATATTACTTCTGTTCCCAAGTAACCTGAAAATTTTTATCTACATGGATTCTAGCTTGACTGAGCAAGTCAATGTTTGTGTTCTTATATTGGGTGAGGAAAAATTGCATTGCTGGATCAGACCAGTGTCCATCTACTTAAGCATTAAATTTCCAAAAGTCTAGCCAGGTTTCCCTAGTCATTGATAAGCAGGGCACGGTGGTGAAGGCCTCGCCATTTGCTTTGCTACCAACATTAATACACCAAAGCAAAATGTTCCTTTCAGTGGACATTCCAATCTGCTACTATGGGGAACCAAGATTCAAGGTGGATGCGAGGAAGTACTTCCTGATGGTTAGGGTATGGAATGGGCTTCCATGGAAGGTGGTTGAAGCCCCACTGGTGATGGTGTTTAAGGATAGGCTGGATATGCACATGCTAGGCATGTCTTGATTGGAGCCGGGGGGTCAGACTAGATGGCCTAGAAGGTTACTTCTGACTTGCTCTGTTTCTATGTTCTATATTGCAAGCCTTGCTGTGCTTTTAGTCAAAATCTGTGGTGCACCTCAAAAGGAAACAGCCACTTGGCAGTTTCCTATGTGGTTTGCAAACTGTAGCTAAACAGAGTGAGCCATGAGGGGCAGTAGACCTGATACAGAGCAGCAGATGGAGGTTCCTACATGTATTGAGACTTTGCCCAGAGCTATTTGAATGGGAGGCAGGGGGAGCCTCCCCATCAACTGATAATCTTGGCAGTCCCCCCTGAATGTGAAGCTCTAAGTACAAACGATATTCACTGAAATAAAATTATGGGTCTTATGCCGGATAATATGATTATGCATATAAACATAAGCATGTGATAACAAAGTTCCTTAAACTTGAGTAAATTTGACCAATTAAGAGTCTGCTGCTGAACTATATCTAACCTGTGAAACAGAAAACATGACTGAGGTCAGTCAACTCCTTCTCTTGGATATGTTTTTCTAAGCCAGCAGTTGAATGGTTATACGTTTTTTATCAGGCGTCTTGATGAACCTATAATCCCGAAATGGATTCTGCATCTTTAGGTGGCTGCCCTTCAGGAGGAAAAGAACAGCTTGATGTCTGAAAATGAGATCATGAATGACAGGTTGGACCAGCTGGACGGCTCTCTGGATGATACAAATACTGCAGTTGCAAAAAAGTATTTTCATGCACAGTTGCAACTGGAACAACTGCAAGAAGAAAATTTCAGGTATGGATTAATGTAATCTTTAAGTCCCACCAATCTGTGTAACCTCTTCATTCATTAAAATGTGCTCTGATGCTGTCCTTGAAAAATTTCTGAAGCTACAGGTGATGCAGAACACTATGTTAGGTGTTACATCACATGGCTGCACCTCCATGGTGTGTATTTCTAGGACACCTTGAAGGGCTTGTTTTTGTGCATAGAGCCCAGAGGACAATTCACTCCATAGCAATCCACAAGACCTCTTGTTCAGGGGTTGCAACAAAGAGTGCACTCCTCAGACAGGCTTGCAAGGCAACTCTGTAACAGACCTTTCAGTTGCTTTAGGTAAAACTCCTCTTCCACCAAGCTGTTGGGAAGAAAATAATTTGCTAATCTATTTTTGCTCTTGTTATGGAACACCTGTACATCTGCTGTTTGTAATATTGCCATATGTCATCTTATGGGTTTAGACAGGAACAGGCCTACATTCCAGCATCCTTCAGGAACCATACTGGGTGTTGTAGGACTTTTCTGTCTAAGCATGCATAGGATTGCACCCTGCATGGGTTTCACTGGAAATGGCATCACACCCTTCATGATTTGACTTTAAACAAAGTATACATCATCCATTCAAATTGTCATGCCATGTTTTTCTTTATTTTTTGTTCTTTGTGGTTGCAGTATTTGAAGCAATGTGTTGCCTTTGACTTCTCATTTTTGATAATGCTGGGAGCCTTCAGTGCCTTTTTCTTTGTCATTAATTTGAGTGATCTGATTTGTTATGAAATGACTAGACACAGACTAGATGGGAAAAAATAAAATGCAGTAATTAAAACAGAGCAGCCATTCTGTAACGTGCCCCATATTCATGCATATGAGGAACTGCACAAATATTGTTTTTGTGCTAAAGCATACCTAAATATGTGTGTGCCAGTACTGCTGCATAAAAAAGTCCTCAGAACTACAGGTGTTCAGGATTTCAAGAAGTGAATAACAAGGACACTTTCCATTTTCTTTATGCAAAGACTTGAGACTGCAAAGGATGATTATCGTGTTCACTGTGAAGAACTTGAGAAACAACTGATTGAGCTTCAGCATCGGAATGATGAACTGACTTCTCTGGCAGAAGAATCTAGAGCCCTGAAAGATGAAATTGACGTTCTTAGGTATGATGTGAATCACTTTTACTAAAAATCCATCCAATTTATATTATGACTTGTGTTGACCTGCTAAATAGAGAGCTATTGGAGGATGGTAAAATAATTAAACATAAAATATAAGAAGTTACAATAAATATGATAGCATTCAGCAATTGTAAAGACTGGAATTTTTAACAAAATGTACCATATTCTGTTTCCCAAATTCTGTTTTCTGTTTAGTTTTCTAAACTAAAACCTCAGTTTTCAGGTTTTATTGCAGTGTTAGAACTTCGTGATAAATAAGTGGGTTTTGGGATGAAGTTTGGGCGCTCGGTCTCTAAAATGTTCACCATCAGTGGTGTGCTGGCAAGATTTTGATGTTTGGGTTGTGTTTAGTATGGGCAGAGATGATGAGCAGTGCAGAAAAAGCTACTCTAGGAAGGCTTTTGCAAAATTGCATTATTTTCAATGGAACTTTACCCCTATATTAGAGTTAGGGGTGTGCACCAGGGGTGTGTTAGGGTTAGAAAAATGAGGTGTCCTGGCATGATTTCAACGGTTGGAATGTATTGAGAATGGGCAGAAATGTTCAGCTGTGCAGAGAAAGCTACTCTAGGAAGGCTTTTTCAAAATCGCATTATTTTCAATGGAACTTTCACCATCTATTATGGTTAGGGGTGTGCACCAGGGTAGGGTTAGGGTTAGAAAAACAAGGTGCCCTGGCATGATTTTGATGGTTGGAATGTGTTAAGCATGGGCAGAAATGATGAGCAGTGCAGGAAAAGCTACTCTAGGAACGCTTTCTCAAAATTGCATTATTTTCAATGGAACTTTACCCCTGTATTAAGATTAGGGGTGTGCACCAGGTTAAGGTTAGAAAATGTAGGTGTCCAGGCATGATTTTGATGGTTGGAATGTGTTAAGCATCGGTAGAAATGTTCAGGTTTGCACAGAAAGCTTCTCTAGGAAGGCTTTGTCCAAATTGCATTATTTTCAATTCTTTTTCAAAATTGCAGTATTTTCAATGGAACTTTACCCCTATATTAGAGTTAGAGTTGTGCACCAGGGTTGTGTTAGGGTTAGAAAAACAAAGTGTGCTGGTATGATTTTGATGTTTGGTTTCTGTTTAGAATGGGCAGAGATGGTGAGGAGTGCAGAAAAAGCTACTTAATGAAGGCTTTTTCAAAATCGCCCTCTTTTCAATGGAACATTCACCCTTTATTAGGGTTAGGGGTGTGCACTAGAGTAGGGTTCTGGTTAGAAAAACGAGGTGTCCTGGCATGTGTTTGATGGTTGGAATTCGTTTAGTATTGGCAGAAATGATGAGCTGTTCAGAAAAAGCTACTCAAAGAAGCCTTTTCTAAAATCCCCCATTTCAATTGTATTTTTCTACTATATTAGGGTTAGGGGTGTGCAGCAGGGTAGGTTTAGTCCAGTGGTGGCAAATCTATGGCATGCGTGCCACAACGGGCATGCAGAGTCCCCTTTATCAGTATGTTAGCCAAGTCACCCCTGTATAACCCATCAGTCAAGCATTGGATTACTGGACACATAGGGGCCACATGCTTGCTCACAAAGTGGTTGTGGCGCCAGGTGATGACGTTACAAACTGTGACTCATTAGCCACGACTCGTTTGTGCTTTTGCGTGGCCGGTCAGTGTGCTGCCAAAGAGAGAGAGAAAGAGAGATGCTTGGACTGGCTGTGAATTGTTTTTTCTAAACTGAAACCTCAGTTTTCAGATTTTATTGCAGTGTTGGCACTTTGCGATAAATAAGTGGGTTTTGGGCTGCAGTTCGGGCACTCAGTCTCGTCATCACTGCCCTATATTCTCTTTCTTAAGGGCAGTGTCCAGTAGGGCTTCTCCACCTCTGTGGGTTTCATTGGACTCACAAGAGCGACTCTTCTCACAATGAAGCGCCCATCCTTTCAGGCAAACTCATTTCTGGATTGGGACAGGTCAGCAGTACCCCTTCTGGAAACCTCATTTTCCTGTCCTGTCCCAGAAAGCACATGTAAATTCAGCTCCTACTCATAAAGAGACGGTGTCCTTACTTGGAACACCAGGACCAGTGGTGATTAAGGTAGATACAAAACTTGGCGTGATGTAGTAGGTGCAGAGGCAAATGCAGCAACAGGCAAGATATAAACGAAGACTGCTCAGGACTGGAAGTAGACACCAATCAGAAATACAGAACTTCCGTCGCAGAGACTAATATGGCTTTAGCAAACCTTGGTAGCACTAAGTAGGGTTGTTTTTGTTTTTTAAAGAGCCTCCTGTGGCTCCCAGCTAGTTTGCATGATTGCACTAGTTGTAATCCTGCAAGCACCTACAAATCTGATGCCTGTCCTGCAAGGACCAGTCCACCATGGGAGCTGCAGTGTTCTGTAGATCCTGACAAATGTCAGTTCCCGGCAGCATAAGTGCTTTTTTTCCTTTCAAGCTCACAAGCACAATAGGATACTGCCCACAGCAACAAATGGGTCCCCTTGAAATGTGTCTCTGTATGTGGGGGGAGAGAAAGATCTGAGGGGAAAATACTTAAGGTCTTTTATTTCAGAGAAATCACTCCAAAAGATGTAACATTAGAAGCTCTGTTACTGGTTTTTTAAAAATTTCCAGCTTGAAAAGAGGGGCCTAATCTCTCTTGAGACCATATGCATTTACTTTAGCTCCTTTTATAAACTCTTGTCAAGGATTCATCCCCAACACTTAACTGTGAAAATGCCTAATGTTTCAACTGAGAGCTTAATCTGTATCAGTTCCACAGCTTATATTCTGTGGAAAACAAAACCCTAAAGAATTAACATTTGATAAATTAATTCTTATTCTACTCTTTAGAACCTCTTTGTACTTTGTTCCCTGAAAACAATTATAACCATGGTGTGGGAAAAGAGGATAGCTTGTCTGGTAATCTTATTGTTTCTAAGTAAGAAACTCCCAATCCATGCCTTGCTACTACAGGATGGTTGCTGACAAGACAAATAAGCTGGAATCAACTGTTGAGGTATATCGTAAAAAGCTGGAGGACTTGAATGATTTTCGCAGACAGGTGAAATCTCTTCAGGAAACAAATATGATGTATATGCACAATACAGTTAGCCTAGAGGAAGAGCTAAAGAAAGCAAATGCAGCCCGCGCACAGCTAGAAATGTATAAAAGGCAGGTAAGAAATGAGCTTGCTCTCTTACTTGTACTTTGGGTTTTTTAATATGTCATTTTAATTCTAAAAGGCTGTGGTGCTTGGCTCAGAGCTGAGTCACCTCTTTCTCACCATCCTAAATGTGAGGTAGAGTCTGCTTTTTGCGTGCAGGTATTGAATGCATGTCTACATCTATTGTTGGGACTTTGTTTACAGCACACTGTGCTTATATTCCATTGCACATTTGGGTGCTGTATTGAGTTAGGTGCATTTATCCATGGAAATGAATAAAGCAATAGGCAGATGAGTTCAGCCATTCCACTGGAGTATCTCACTGACAACCAACAGGGTATTTGAGTTAAAAATCTGCAGAGACTAGTATGCGGTTTCTTTGTGGAGTATTGCACTACAATGTTTGTGCCCTATTAAATGGAATGTGGTGACCTGTGTTTTCAACATGCAGTTGGGTGATTATCTGTTTTTAAGAAAGTGGTGCTCAGGATACCTCTGAAATGTTTTGGATGGATAGTTAAGTAATAGGCATTTATAACAGGGAAGAGTTCAAAGCATCTTTTTGAGTATACCTTTTAAAATACAGTTTCAAGGGAGTATAAAGCTAGTAATGTGGGCTTATGAGGATGTCCTTGTTAAATGGCAGTAGCATTTTGACTGTGATGTGCTCACAGACCCATTCGTACCCCAAGAACTTTGTATTAAATAAGCAAGTTGTAAAGCAATTGTGTGGTTGCCTCTCTAAACAAGGTCCAAGAACTTCATAATAAACTCTCTGACGAATCCAAAAGAGCTGATACAACTGCATTTGAACTGAAGCGATTAGAAGAGAAGCATGAAGCATTAATTAAAGAGAAAGAGGTGAGGCTTCTAATGTGTAATCTAAATACATTAGCATGTTCTTTTCAAAATACCTAAGATGCAAGATAGGTAGAGTGATACCGTGTTGGTGGGTCATTGGCTTTTGGTGAAAGGGAATATAAACCTCTTGAGTTTCAAGAGAAGTAACTACAGAAATGAAAATTCTAGAAAGCAGTGTTGTAATTTTAAGTGTTTCTTGAATAACATCAAAATGAAACTTGTTAAATACAGTACATAATTTCATTGTTTGAAACTTGTTGTGTATTGATTAATGATCCCTTAAACAGCACACAGTTGGCTTACATATGGTTTAGCCTGTACAGGAGACTTCAAGTCAGAGATTTGTCTTTAGGCCAGTCTGGTAAGAGTGCTGCAGAAATCCTGTGGACCTATACATTACTCTGCAGGAAAAGAAGGGAGGCTTTTATGATTTCCTGTTTCTCCAAGTTTGTTATTTCCAACTAGAGAGGCCTCTGAGCTGTCACCTTAGTGGGTGGGGGCACAGAACCCTGGAAGAGGAGTTGCTGTAGTGCATTCTCACGTGGATTTTCCTCCCTCACAGGTATATCTTTGTCAACTCAGCTGTGAAGTGTAGGGAGGACCCATTCTATCCTATGGGATGTCCCCACATGGACCATAGAATTGCACTTCTAACCAATTATAAGCCCTTATTTATTTGAAATCAGCACGACAAGGTTCTTATCAAGGTTTCTTTCTTCGCAGGGCTATGTTCTCTCTTCTATATATGTGTTAGAGTTTCCAGGCCCCCTTCCCCATTAAGGCACTTCATGCTACCTGAAAAGTTGTTCTTGAGGGTTCAGGTTTTCTCTGGAGTGGAGTTATAAGGGATTATACCAAAGAAGCAAATGGATGCAGTGCTTCCTGTGTAAACAAAGAAGCACTTTCGCAGGATATCTAGTATTCTTTATATCACAGCCTATATTGTATCCTGTGTATGGTATCCTTTCATGGAGTAAAGAACCATGGCATGAGTAGCATTTATATTGTATGTTGCATTGTGGGAAAAACTTGTTAGGTTTCTTTCTGCATACAACATACCTGGCAAGCTGTGGAGGTGACATGCAAGGATGCTGACAGCAAACATGGATACTGTTTTATTCAATTTTCCCTAATATTTCAGCTGATAAGAAGCTTTACAACATGAAAATGATTGCATCCTAAAACAATCTAGATTAAAATCAATAGCATCAACCTATGAAGAAATTCACAGCCATTAAAATGCTGGAAAGAAACAGGCTTAACTGATCTTCCTGTAAGTTTCTACCAAAAGTTTCCTCTCTAAGTAGATGGCCTGCCATGGTTGAAACAAGGAAGGCATCCAGAGCAGAACTGCATCAGAAAAATGTAATGCCCGGCTTATCTCTATAAGGAATATTAGGTTGCCTAATAGTTGAATTTTATAACCAAGAATGATGCAGGGCTATCATTGGGAGAAGGAGGGATAGTATAAAGTTTATACTATAAACCATCACAATTCATAGAGAATAAATATTTTATCTACATCTGCCACCATTAATTTTTATATTATTTTCAGAGATTGATAGTACAGCGTGATGCACTAAAAGAGACTAATGAAGAGCTCAGGTGCTCACAAATGCAACAGGATCACCTGAACCAAACAGGTACCCTGTTGCTTTCTTTAGAAACATTCCAATACATAAACTGGAGATAGCCTTATTATGCTGCTTTATGATTTCAGATGCATCTGCTGTCAAAAGCCATGAAAATCTTGCTGCTGAAATTCTGCCTGTTGAATATAGGTAAGGAAAGAGCTTTAACGTATGGCAAAGGAGTTATGAATATTGTGTGACCGATTAGTATAAATGAATGCTTATATCATGGGTCCTCAAACTACGGCCCGCGGGCCGGATCTGGCCCTCCATGCTGATTTATCCTGCCCACCTCAGAGCTTTTGGACTCGTTCAGAGAAAGCTATCTCCGAGCGAGTCCAAAAGCTCTGAGCCGGCTCAGGCATACTCAGTGGGAAGATGGCCACGATCGCAGTCATGCTAGTGCAGGGAAGACAGGCGCAATTGCGGTCGTGCTTGCGGGGGGCGGGGGTGAGATGGCCGCGATTGTGGTGGGGGTAGGTGAGGAGATGGCCACGGTCGTACTCGTGCAGGGAAGATGGGCACAATCGCAATCGTGCTTGAGGGGGGAAGATGGCCGCGATTGCGCCCACCTTCCCTGCATGATCGCGCCTGTGCCCACCGCTGCCACCTCGCCGCCACTGCCACCTTTTAACTGGCCCCCTGTTGAAAAAGTTTGAGTACCCCAGCTTATATAAATGCAAAAAGCTGTTTTGTCTTCATATGAATTCCCTGGATTTTCTTAATGTGCATTTCAGTAATGCTTGAAATATAATAGTAAGTGAAATTCTATTACCCCACTGCAAAAAGAAACTGGATTCTTATATGTAGTACTCTTCTTGCATATTTACAATGTGAAGCCTTTATTGTTATACTTCGATCATCTGAACCACACAAAATTGATGCTGCTTTCTAGAAACATGCCTCCTATTCTCCTCACTGTTTCTAGTTGCTTTCTTATTTTACCACTCCCAGTTAATGAATTAAAAAGCAGTCTGAGTAATAATGGAATTTAGGAGGGAAGGAATGTTAAAACTCTATGATATGTGTAGAGAGTCAGTATGGTATAGTGGTTAAGAGTGTGGGATTAGGACTCAGGTGACAGGTGATCTGGGTTCTAGTCCCCACTCAGCCATGGAACTAACTTGGGTGACTAAGCCAGTCACAGACTCTCAGCCCAACCTACCTCACAGGGTTGTTGTTGTGGGGATAAGATTGAGAGCAGGAGGAGGAGAATGATGTAAGCACTTTAAGTTCTTTTTTAAAAAAGAAAAAAGGTGGGATATACATCTAATAAATAAGTCCATGCACCACTTAGTACCTTGTGATCCAAGGCAGTTGTGCTTGAATGAAACTGAAAGTATTTTTGTGACTAGGTTTAAATAAATGGCCTTAATATATATTTTGTCTGTTTGAAACTTTGTTTTGAAACCACAGAGAAATGTTTATCCGGCTACAGCATGAAAATAAAATGCTTCATTTGCAACAAGAAGGATCAGAAAATGAACAAATTGCAGAGCTTCAAGAAAGGCTAGAACAAAAGCATCGGACAATAAATGAATTAGAGACAGAAAACAGGTAATTTTTATTTTTTCTCACATTGACATTTCTGGAAATATAGAACAACCAAACACATAGATTATATGAAATCAAAGATAAAATACTGGCAAATTTCGCAAAACATAAAATGCAAAGAAAGTGACTGTCACATGTGTAAGAAAGTGACTTTTTCATATTTTTGAACACTTAAATCTTGAAATCTAGCATTTGGGTTACATGTTAGATGTACATGCAATGTTGTGTTTCTGTGTGTTTTAAAATGCTTTGCTGTAGGCTGAGCAAGGAGCGTATTGGAGAGCTACAGCAGCAGATTGAGGATCTCCAGAAGACGTTGCAGGAACAAGAATCCAAGACAGAAGAGGAAGAGGTAGGCATCACATGGTGAAATGTTTCATAGTAGAACTAGAGTCAGGTATTTCATTGCTGGACACTTGCCTTGCAATGAAAATATGCATTTACCATGGGATATCTAAAAACAAAAGCACAACACGTTGTTCAGAAATTCTAAGGAATAAGTTTTTTAAAGGAGCTGGCGTGGTGTATGTGATAAAGTGTTTGGATAGCATGTAGGATGCAGATTCAAATCAGTGGACAGTCCTGAAGCTCATAATGCAGTGAGAAGACTCAGTGAAAAGGCATTTTATTATATATACATTCATTCTTTGGAATGGGGTGGCCTACCATTCTAATGCTGCAGTATAGACAGCCAGCCAGCCAGCATGGCTGGTCAGGGAACACTGGGAGTTGTAGAACTTTTTCCAGTCTAAGCATACAAAGGATTGCTCCATAAGTAATAATTATGGACTAAATCCATACTCAGTATTGTTTCAAATGCTTCCTTTGCAGTATCTATACTTGTTGGCAGTTTGAAATAAATTACTGGTATATATAGATTGTAGATATAACCTAATACAGTTCTAATCAGTTTAACTTATTTTTTTAGTCAAGCAAGTTAAAGCAGAAGATAGCAGCACACATGTAAGTTAAACATTGTATCTAATTTTTATTGTGTTTTTATGAGTTTTGCACACATACACATGATTCTCTGCAGGGGGAAAGTTCATTGCAATGCTAATGTGTGTTGAGAGGAAATAATGCTGCTGTTAAGCATTGGAGAAATTTTTCCAAACTGTGAACCTTCCTTGATTCAAGCAGTAATTCCCAGTGATAATCCCTACTGATAATTCATTTGGATACTTATTCTGCTGTCCATAACACAGCACTATATTTAAGATGTTCCGTAAGCACTCACAACAGTAGCATCATTTCCTGTTTTCTTTCATCTGGTTTTCTCTACTAGTAAAATTATTTTCTTATCGTTATAGATTTAGCTAAAATACTTGTCATATAAGCCTCCCTGTTTTAAAAACCATTTAATAGTTTCCTATGTTTTGGCTCTGAAAAAGTATCTATTTGACTTTTGATTCACAGTCTTAAGGCAAATGAACGCATTACTGTTTCCTGATTTTAGTCCAGGTTTTAAATATAATAAGAGAAGCACAATATAAAGAGACTTTATTCTGTTGTTATAGTTCATGAGAATATGAAATACTGATGTGATTTAATTCTGGATCTGACCCCAACTCTGACCCCAAAGTTCTGGATCTTACAGGGAGAAGCTGAGTGAAGTCCATGATGAACTGCAGAAGAAGGAGGCTCTTCTTGCAGATCTCCAGCCAGATGTAAATCAAAATGGTAAGTGATCCGATGTGATGGTCACTTTTGGCCACAGATACTGCTTTCTTATTATTCATTCCTTTGAACGCCTGCATAGCAAGTGGAGGAGGGCAGCTTATATACGTAGCAGTGAACTGTGCTCTAATGCTGAAGAAATGCTTTACTGTCCACAAATACTTGCATAACATAACAAGCCCTTGTTTGGGGAGTGGGAAAAACTTGGTAATATGCTGCTAAATGTCAACGGCACCTCTGAATTTCAAGGGCAGATTGCTGCTTCCCCCCCATAGCACTAGGCATATTGGTTTATGGTGGTGCGACGACATCAGCACTGCTGCTGGAGCACAGCTGGATCCTGTGCTACTTTTTGTGCTGCAACTCTGTGAAACGCTGCTCCATAGAGTGTTTGTGGAAAGCCGTCTTTTTTTCTCTTTGCTCTTATAATTCAATATTAAAGTATTACTCCCAGTACATGAGAATGTTCGAGCTGTGTTTCATGATTATGATGGTGAACCACAGTGGAGAGAAGGGACCTAGACACTAGATTTTCCTTGGCTGTCTTTTCATGGTATCAGCATCATCATCATCATCATTTTAATAACCAGGAAATACAGGTTGTATTAATAGAGTGACTGGGAACCTTTTTTTTAAATCCAGGGCTACTTTTCATTTTGGAAAACTTACTAAGGACCACATGCTTGAGAGGGTTTAAAATTAAAGTGATTGAGCGATCCTCTTTCTCTCTCTCACACACACGCTAATAAATAAGACACACTCATTCATTCATTCTCCCTCCCTCTCTCCTGCACACAACACACACATGCAAACACATTTCCCACCCCAGATATTTTCCATGCAGCAACAAGGTCTTCTTTTAGAAAGCTCAACTGTTTAAAGCTGAATCGCTGTGGGGGAGGGGGCAGAGGATGGCCCATGGGCCACAGGTTCCTCATCCTGTTTTAATGGATTGTAATTAATACATGAACCCATTTGGAGTCCACTTTATCCCAGCTCACCATTAATTTTGTCCATTGCATTAATGTTCGGCTAGGGACATTTGTCTTTGCTAATCACTAAACTGGGTTTTCTTCTAATAGCACAAAAAATTGAAGAACTGGAAGCTGCTTTACAAAAGAAAGAAGAAGATATGAAGTCAATGGAAGACAGGTATAAGATGTACTTGGAAAAAGCAAGAAGTGTAAGTATATTTTCTATAATATCAGTGATTTGTTTCCACATCCACTTCCTATACATTGAAAGGTGGAATAATTCTATGTTTTTCAGTTGAATTAATTCAGAATACTTTTTAATGTAGATGGCATTTTCAGCCACACTGTGACCATTGCCCTTTTTCTTTATATGTACTGTTTGAATCTCCTGATACATTTTGTGACTAGTTGAAAGATAAGGTTGCCAAAGGCATTTTATGTTCATCTTTGTTGGCAGGTGATAAAAACATTAGATCCCAAATTAAATCCAGCATCTGCTGAAATCATGTTACTGAGAAAACAGTTGATGGAGAAAGATAAAAGAATTGAAGCACTTGAGGTAAAGAATGGTTTTAGCATCTTTTTCTTCTTTGCATTTCAAGCAATTTTACTGTAAGAACTATCATATGGTATTTGGGTAAGAAAGGAAAGCCTAGTCTAAAATCCTGCACTGATCTCTAGAGGATGCTCTAAAATGGTGCATTTATCACCAGAGAAATACAGAAAATAGAAATAATAAATTTAACTTGCAACTCTATTCTCTGTCTGTTAGTTTTGACCTTGAAACCTATATAATTTTCTTTCCCTCCATTGTAACAGTTATACATTCTTTTTAGGGAGAATGTAAATTGGCCAAGCTACATGATCATGAAGAAAAATTAATTGTGTCTGCATGGTATAACAAGGTGAGCTACTCTGTGTGTGTGTGGCGGGGGGCGGGAAGAGAGAGGGAGAGAGAGAGAATATGAAAAACAAATATTCATATTTTCAGAACAAAATTGTCAGGCTTACTAAATTTTGAAAGTTACCTATTTCTTGCAGTGATTTGCATTGCAAGAAATCTGTTGCATGCACTAATAAGAGTAATTAAGATGGTCTACAACTTTCCTGCTGCTAGTATAGCCAATATTTAACGTGCATGTAGTAGGTGTGCAGAGTCATCATGCTAAGCCACCCTATGATAGGTGGGGTGTTCACTAAGCAACCCAAAGTGTTCCCAGTAGATGATCGGGCTTAGCATTGGTGCTTCTTCCCCACATTTTCCCTCCGTTCTCCAGCTGCTTCTAGCAGGTATTCCAATAGCAGCACTCGTTCTGCATTTCGTATATGGAGGCTGCTGCCTGCCAAGCAAAACACAGCCTCCTCCATTTCTGCCCACATCAACTTGCCAGATGGAGTTAATTGTCTGAGTGCTCATGAATGCACTAAGATGTTCCCTGATGACTTTTGCTATTGTGCAACTTTGAGTGATATTTACGCATGAATCTCTCTATTCCCCCTTTCCATTGCGGAATTAAGATTTTTTTTCAAGACTGCATCATATTACACTAAAGTAAGCACAACTTTCTGACAGTAAGGGTACTTGCTGGTAAATCCACTTCTCTCTAGCCATCTTCAGCTCCCCCCCCCCCACCTCCCGGGGGCTTCCTCTTACTTCCCTCACATCTTGGTACAAGTTACATGGCAGGACTGGGAAATATTTGCAAATTTCATGGCAAAGCAGTTGCATGAAGAGAAGAATTACAGAATGATAAGGCATATTCTCGTGCACTTGTGCCAGACCAAAAGCCAAAGTGCAAACCCATTCAGGACACTATCCAATGTCCTTTCTTTGTGATTTTTAAGGCCATGTGTCAGAGGACACTGAGAAAATTCTTTGTGGAGAGGGTAGAACAGCATGAGCAAGAATGCAAGGAATGGCGGGGGATTTAGCCACTACAGTGAGGTAGCTCTCTAGCAGTTTCCAGCAGCCCATGATAAAATCACCATGCTAAGTTTGGGTTTAGACAAAATAAGCCAACATGGGTATGAACAATCCTATAACAAGCCATGGTTCTCAGAATAGCCCTTGGCTTTACTCACATAAAGTTGCCAGACAATTGAGCACATTGTGGACTTTTTAACCAATTTATGAGTTGTTTTGTTCTGTCCTCTCACTTGCTCCCAGCCTGTGTCCAGGAAACCTTTGCAACACTGTCCATGGTTTGAAAAAAAAAAAAAAAAAACATGGTTGGCAGCCCAACAACAAGCCATGGGTTCTCTTCAAGGGTAGTTTTTGCTTAACAACTGACATTTAACCCGTAATCCTGGATTTGGATTTAACAAGAACCATCACTTCAATAACACATGGCTGAATGTGTTGGCCATACTTGTCATTAGGTACAAATGACACATTTCTGACACATTTACGGACTGCTTTGTGGCATTTAAAAATAGCATCAAACTGTACCATTGAATTCAGCTAGTGTCTGAAAACATGACGAAAGTATGATACATAATATTTTCTATTGAACACGTAAGGGGTGCTTTTTCCCATACACTGCATGATTTCATTGGTTTATACAGTAATAGTTTTGCATAATAGTAGAAATCTACCATAATCGGTTCAGTTTCTAAGCATTTGATAATGGAATGCAAAGCATCATAACGTTACCTTGTTTTATTCCAGAGCTTAGCATTTCATAAACTGGGCATGGAATCCAGACTCATAAGTGGGAACACCCCCTGCAAGGATGCTAGTGGCTGCCTACCTGCACGCTCTTTCCTTGCACAGCAGCGGCATGTAACTAATACCCGAAGGAATCTTTCTGTTAAAGTACCTCCTGCAGCATCAGATTAAACTACAGAAGATATTCGTGCACTGAAGTGTCCTTAACTTATTTTGTAACTTCTGTATTAAACTACCTGAGAAAGAATGAAATTGTGATGCAGGGCATCAGCTATTTTACATGTGAAACCCAGATGCTGGTAAATTTAATTTGGCCAGCTGATTCTAAGACTTGAGGTATGTGTTGATAAGCACACCTCCTAAAGGATTTATATTTAGTGTCATTATGTTGTGTATAAAAATACAAAATTGGCATTGTATTTAAAATACTATTTAATGGTTTCAGACTAGGATGTTTACTGATTTTAATGGGAATAAATTTTTATTAATAACATTTTGGGATAGTATACCTTCCTTTTCCCTGCTTGTCCAGTTCTTTCTGTTACTTTACAAAAACAACAATAAACAAATTGGAAAATTTAGTGTACCATTCATGGCACATGGTTGTTTTGCTTCCATGCAAAATACAACCAAAGTGAGCTACTGATTTCACAATTTGATTTTAAGGTTCTGGTATTCTGATGTCAGTTGAAAACCTTTTATACTCCCCTGCAACAGGAATTGACTAGATTGTAAGAACTGCTGAATCATCATTTTATGTAGCTAAAATGAAGGCGCTTCCCTTTGCAAAAGGGTGAAAATCCTGCAAAGCCAAAATGTCTATTTCAATTGAAACAATGATGTTTAAAAACAAACAAAAACCTTTGTAGAACTTCAGCATTTTTAGAGGCTGCAAAACTAATCTTAAGCCTTTTAATATGCTTCTGCTCCAGGACCCTGGATGCTTGGCCATGCATGGTTTGTTCATTTAGGGATGCAGTATCTTCAGCTGGGCACACTGAACAGAAAAAATTGGAGACATGCTGATCCCCTAAAGGCTAGATACAGATGTCCCAGACATCGTGTATCAGACCTGTGGACATGACTGTGCTCTAGCCGGGAGTGGACTGAGCCTGTGTCCAAAATTTGATGGCATGAAAATGCTTACATTAAGCAGTTACCATTCTGTTCTTGTACCTTTGTCAATTTAACAGCTTTAGAATAGATGTTCTGCAATCAGTAGCCTTATAAGAAGCAGCCCCTATGTTTGATTTTAAAGCCTTCTAAAGGATTTTAATATAAATATGAGTGACATTTCAATCTATTTAAAAGTGTGATAAAGAACAAGAGCAGCAAGTGCAATCCTTTTGGTGGTTTATGCACCCTTTACATTGTGCAAATGGAAAAATAGGCTGTTGTCCATGAAAATTCTTGCTGCAGCAGACCAGCTTGCTTCTAAGATTCCACTAACTTTAAAATCAAGGCACAATTAAAATCAGGCAATTGTTTAGTTTGATAATTATACAGTTTTAATTGTATAATTATCAAACTTTTATACAGTTTGATAATCCCAAAGCAAACAAAACACAGCTGAGTGCAGTTCATAGGATGCAATGCCTGTTTGTTTTCAAGGTGGATCTTGAGTTTAAAAATAAGCACATACATTCAAAGTAAATTCTGTGTAATGGGCCAGGTTTTTATGTTTGTGAATATAATGCAAGCTTGAACTTTATTACCGATCATTCACACACCTCAAATAAATGAGGTATATAATTTGGGTTATGCAGTTTTGTTGTTTTATTTTGGTTAGACACAGCACTCTAAGATTTGTAATCTGAAATGACGTCAGGCTTGACTAATGTTTGTGATTTATTAAAGCAGGGCTGTGATGACTGGTGTTGCAGCTGCAGTATTACATGCTATTGTGTATATGTTAATACTACAATTCCAACTCTTCTGTGTAAATCTTAATACCAGCAGTGATGTCGTTTAGCAGTGCATCCCTGTGCATGGCTACTCTGCCACAAGTCCCATTGAGCTCCATGGGGCTTATTCCCAGATAAGTGTATTGCAGCCCAAGTGTATCAATGTCAGGGCCTTCACAGTTTCTCCAGTTCTGTTTTACACGTTTGTATGTGTCTGTTGACAGCCTCTTAAGTTTTAAAGAGCATCACTTTAGTCTCAGCAAAAGCATACTTAAAAATATACTAGGCTTCTTCAGCTACTGTAATATCTGTTACTAGAAAGGCAGTATCAATGTCCCAGTGCAGTTCAAGTTAGTTATGACTTGGAAAATGTGGCAATGAAACTGGCCATGACTGATCTGATTTCAACTAACTTGAGCTGGCTTGAGTTTGGTACTGAAAGATATAACTCTCCTGTATGAATATTTCAGTATTGCATATCTCCATATTACTAGGTCAGAAAAATGCAGCCTCTGGCAGACTTAAATAATAAAACTTGGATGAAAAGGTCCATGCTAGTTTAGGAAGACTGAATGCTGTCATCAGTGAAAATTGTAGTCAAGCATTTAGATGAAATGACATTTGAAGCATGCTCAAAATATTTGATATTGTAACACAAAAAAAATTCACCCAACTACTATGGAGATGGAGCTGCTAGATGACTGGCTGCCAATTTTGGCAATAGCAACGTATGACCTTGTCTAGTTCCAATTCTAACTTGGTTTAATATCATGCAACTACTTCCCTTGTCTTGTTTCTCTATCTTCCTGAAAACTCACCTGTTTTGAGGTTAAATCTAAAAGGCAAAGACATTCAGGTTATATACTCAGGTGATGCACAGGCTATGGACAGTTCTAGGTCCTCTTCAGTCTGTTCAGGTGAGGACAGCCTTCTCCAACTAGGTGCACTCCACATGTTTCAAATACAATTCCTATCAGTCCCCACCAGCATAGCCTGGAAAACAATTGTATGCAACACCTGTCTATGCATGTTTTGCCTCACTACTGAAGGCAAAATCACATTATGGGTCCTTGAGCATGGTAAAACTGAAAGTCTACAGGCAGAACAATTTGTTGTAATTGTGTGCAACTGAATTTTTCGTCAGCTACTTGGTATAGCACTAATTTTAAACTTGAACTACCTCCTTTAATATAATTGAAATATTTGATCACCAGCAACTGAATTCAGAATTCCCCTCTTTTAGTCAAGAAAGTATAAAGTTAAGATAAATCAAACTATTCTGATTTTATTCTGAATTTTTAAGTTAATAATGATTTAACTATAATTTGTGTGTCTTGTATTACTTCACTTAATATGGCATATTTAACCCAAGTGGCGCTTAACAGTTTGTCCCCTGTATTGATTGCATGATTGTTTTCATTAGATTCAAAAGTGTTCTGTTAGTATAGCAATTTATGAATTTTCACCACTTTTCATTACTTTTTTAAAAAAAATCATGATCACCTTTTAGAAATTTGCTTTTAGAGTTCTTTATTATCAAACTAAAGTGTACTATAGAAATGATGACAAGTTTCTCTTAAGACAAACTTTTTTAAAAAAGTAAAAGTGTTGAGCTCTTCTTCAGTAATCACAATTGTAAGCAATACTAATATATTCCTTTAATAAAGATAAGTTGTAGGTCTGACTTTATATTTTCAAAATATTAGACATGTCAGAATCTAATGTCTTTGATGTGTTTATGTCTGCACCTGTGCAAAAAAATGGACAGTATAGAAATAGTGGGAAAATTGCACTAATTTGTAAACATGGTTTTATTCTTTCTTCAAGAAATATTATTTTATATTCACATTAAAAATGACACTATTTTTGTGGTCTCTGTTTATTTTATGTATTAAACTTAATTGGAGTGATAGCTTTGTCAAATTCAGTGCACTCAATTCAAGCCTTAGGTTTGTCACACCTTCATACATGCAGATGACACTTACTAGTGAGGAGTCATGAGACTAGAAGGAAGAGAGAAATGAAGGTGTCACTACTTAGTCTTGGCTCTGTCCCCACCTCCTCCTGGCTTTGACCCCACCCACCACCAGCCTGTAGCCCATGACAAGAATACACCATTCCTGTGTTAGAAAAAAACAGCCTAAAGAAAAGGATACTAATTATGAGTTTAGATGTGCAAGTTTCATCTGAGAAGAGAAGGGCCTGCTCCATTGGGGCACATTTGATTACCCCTAATAGACCTAGGCACCTCTGAAAATCTACACTGAGGACCGTGCTCCCTTTGGAGCAGCATGAGAGGCAATACAGAGAGAAAAGGGAAATTGGCAAGCTCTCCTCACCACCCACTCTCTCCAGTGATGCTGGAGCTTTCTTATCTGGATTCAATCTCTTACAAATTGCTATTGCCTGGGTACCTCATGCCTGCTACAATGATCAGTTAGCTGACCAAGAACTCTATCAGAGGGTTCTTGGACCTCTTTCAACCATTTCAGAGACATTCTTGGGTGGGTGAGAAAGAAGGCAAAAGGAGAAGAGCAACTTATTGCCTGAAAATAGTCTTGAGGAGGCATTTCAACCATTTAAAGTGGACAAAAAACTGCACAAATGCTGGGAAACAGCCAAAGAATTGCTCGTTATGGGAAAGATGAGGCAGACTCTTGGAAATCACATCTCCTAGCTGTTGCAGCAACTGCTGAGTACATTTCTTTGAGGTCTGAGTTGTTCTGACACGGGATAACCTCAAGAGGGACTGTCACCTAAATGTAGAAATTGCAAAAGGTTGAGGTGATATCCCTGTCTGCCTTGTCCTAATTCTAACTAGGAAAGCTGGGTTCAGAGTGAAATAAGCAGAGAAACAGAGAGTTCTTCATTACGGTCTTCGTTCATCACACATTATAGGTGCTGCATCTGCACAGTACCTATTGCCTGGAAGATTTACTAGCATTAATGGTTTTTGGCAGGAACTCTGCACCTCCCCCCCACCGTAGTATAAAGGGTCGGAGTGCCCACCCTTTCTCCAGTCTGCTTGCGACCACCATTCACCATGCCTCAGACCTTTTTCTCTTCACTTGTCTTCTCAACCGTAATCTCTTAAACTTGAACTTGTCTTTTTCTCTTAAACTCTACAACCCAAGCCCAGTTCGTCCCTTACGGAACCCCTACCCTTTATTTCTTGTTCCTCCCCGCCTTCCCCTTGCCTCCTCCAAATAAAATCTTCTATTGTCCTTCTTTCCCATAAACTATCTCTGTTCACTGTTTCTCTTCTCTCTTCTTCTCAATGGCACAGCGGGTGGCCTTCCGTAAGTGCTCTCAGTGTAGAGCCAAAATGTTTCCCACTGATCGCATGATCTGTACCTTCTCTGCCTTGGAGAAGGGCACAGGACCGACAAGTGCAGCCACTGCCAGTCTTTCACCAGGCAGGCACGCAGAAATCACGAGAATAGGCTGCGCAAAATGTTGTGGGACCAAGCATTGGTCATGATGAAGCAGGTCTCGGCTGAGGCCAGCTTTTCAGCAGCTTCGGGTCTGCAAAAGCTGCTGCTCCTCGCCCTTCTGAAGGAGACCTCACCGGCAAGGATGGAAAGCACTCCTGACATTCTCTTCCCCGTAAACAGAAGGAGAAGAGGAAGCATGTCTGGTCTGAGGAATCTTCAAAATTGAAGCCTCCTAAGAAGGACAAGCCAGACAAAGCCTAGCACAGGCACAAAAAGCATGACAAAATGCCCCACTCTGACCTGACTGCTGCTTCGATCCCGGTCCCGATCTCAGTTCCAGCTGAACCTTCAATTTGCCAATCCAGCATGCAGGTGACTCCACCAGCGTCACCACCGCGAATTACCATCTCAAGTCCCAAGCATTCCGATCACTTGGCCAGAGGGTCCATGTCTGATGGCGAGATCCGGGAATCATCCGTGCATTCACACAATCCGCCCACTGGCCCCACTCGGTGTCGGTGACTGGGTATACTATACCTCTAGTTACGTATTTCTTTTCTCCCTTATGTGCTGGATTCGATACCGGCTAGCTCCACCTGGGGGTGAAAGGACGGTCTTCAGCTGACTGGGGAAAGGGCGGGCACTCCAACCATTTATACAGACACCTGAGGTTAGACTAGTGGTGGATTAGACCTTTCCAGTTTGCCCATGTCCTTGACATCATTTGGTGTGAATCAAGTTGAGGAATGTGCATGTGCTCAAGCCCTTCACTAATGGCTGACTATTAAGAATGAGTTTGGTTTTCAGGAAGGGGCTGTGTTGAAATGCACTATATAGGAGGTAAGCAGATTTCTTGGTTCTTTGGCTGTGTAGTCTCCTCAATAAATATCAATAAAACCAGGGTACAAAGTCCATTACAGCAGTGAGTTTGTGCAAGCAGTAACAAAAACGGGATGCTTGTTGAAGCTCTGTTACCCAAGTGTGTGTGTGGCGTGTTCCTCTTAGCCAGGGGTTCCGGAGCTTTTTGTGCATGGATGCGTACAGGCTTACCTCAGTGTAAGTGGTCCTCAGCGCTTGTGTATTATTATTTGAATATCTATAGGAACTTTGAATATCTTTAAAGCCTCAGATCCAGAGCTTCTGACGATTCTACAGGGACTGTTAAACTTGCTTAAAGCTTGGGGCGAATGCCCCCCGCCCCATGTCGTGATTGCCAACCCTACCTGAAGTAAATAGACCTGGAGGAATTCAAGGCAGACTTGGTGGCACCAAGAATTAAACTAAACTCTTTGATCTCATGGTAAGAAGGAAGGTCATAAGGCAAGAGCAAAAAGAAGTGGGACACACTATTTGCCCTTCTCTGTTTCACGGATGGAGTCCACCCAAACAAGGATAATCAGGACAGGGATTGAGAAGAGAACAATCACTATTGGAATGTGCATAATCTATGGTGCAGCCACACTTGGAATACCTTGTATTGTTGGGGTTGATGTACTTAAAAAGGATGATGTGGAGCTGGAAATGGTGCAGATAATGGTTCAGGGACTAGAGCAATCTTGTAGAAGGAAAGGGTATAACATTTTGGGCAATCCAGTTAATGAAAGGTAAGGGAGAACATGCTGGAGACACATAAAATTATCCATGGTATGGAAGAAGCAGGTGGAGAGGTGTTTCTTCCTTCTCCTAATCCTAGAAATCCAAGGGAAATTCAAACCCAGATTAGGAACACTGAAAGATAAACTGGGGGACATACCATCCGAGCAGGAGAAAATAAAGATAAGGTGGAAACAATATGCAGAAGGACTATATGGAAGATATGAAAAGATGGCAAACTCCTTTGAAGAGGATTCCTATGAGGAGAAACCTGCAACAATAGAAAGGGAAGGGAAAACTGTTCTTAAAACACTTGAAAGGAACAAGAATGCTCTGGATTGAGAGAAAGGAGTCTTGGATAATTTTAGTACATTCTAAAAGATATAAGATGATTACTTAAATGATTTGCTTATTTGGACAGTTTCAGCTGACAGAATGCCAGCTTGTTCACTCTGCCAGTGAAGGTTTAAACTGGCAAAATAGGGCACTGGGATGCTCTCCTTTCACTGGAACTGCTGTACACCTCAGAATTTCTGTAAATTTGAAAATGGATTGTTAAAGGGATGGTTATCATAATGTCGCAGTCTTGTTTTAAGCTCTAAACTTCGACTTTTGGTACATTTTTGGTGGAAAGTTTCACGCAAATTGAACAGCTGATGATATATGAAGATAATGGTGAATGTTCATACATCATGTCAGATACTTTTGCATGTACAAATGTTCTGAGAATGTGCGTTGGCAGTCTGCAATTGAAGCTACTTGAAAATGGCTGAGTAAACTCCAGAGAGACTCAAAGCATCCACACTTCTAGCTTTGAGTGACCCTGTGGAGGAAACGAGCTCCTTCTGGGTACTCAGGATTTCACAGGACTTGAAGAGAGATGTGGAGACCTTCTAGATCGTGCTGGTGCAGGAATGTCAGAGCTAGTGCATCTGTAATGGTTAGAGGTCCAGTCTCTCTTGAAAACCTCTTCCAGGGAGAGCCCACCTCACTCCCCTAGATAATTGGCTTCCTTGTCAAACTCTCTTATGACCAAGACCTTTCTCCTAATGTGCAACTAAAGTCTAATCTCTTGTACCTTAAGCCCATGAGATCTTGTTCTCCTCTCTTGGACAGGAGAGAACAGCCTTTTCAGGATCTGAAGTGTGCACTTATATTTCCTCTCTGTCGTCTTTTTCTCAGAGTAAACACGCACAGTTCCTCCAGCCTTTCCTCACAGGATTCATTTTCCATTCCACCGGCCATCCACTGCTCTCCTCACCACCTCTTCCAATCTGTCTAAATCCTTTGTAAGCCTCAGGGTCTCTAGGTGGCCCCTCAATTAACATTCACCCCAACTGGCCCTCGTCCTTACCTTTTGCACAGCCAGGTGAGGCTTCTTGACAACAAGATGCAGAAGGTTTCCCAGCAAAGGAAGAGGCATAGGGCCTGGGGGAAAACCTCTTGGGTGCCTGCGTTTGACATAATCAGCAATGAGAAGGAAGGTGCCCAGGGACACCAGAAACACAGAAAGAGACAGGCCCCCTGGAAAGTGGAAACTCAGCAGACCTGCTCAACCAGATTATTTATATGGGGGAAACCCAGCAAGACAAGCACTTCCCGTCCAATCAGCTGATACTGTGCATATTTTACTTCCACAGCTGCAAAGGAGGTGGGGCAGACTTGCATATCATAATACAATATGATATTATTCCACACCCACTTAATGGGAATTGCGTAGTGGGAAAAACTGGGGGAAAATAATTTTGTTAAGATGTGAGGAATGACAGAAAACATGCTGCTCTCTGAGCGCTGAACCCCCTTGCTGTGTTCTATGTATGGAAGTGGCTGGCTCTTAC